CAATTTCAGATTCTTATTGGATTTAAGAGCTTTTACTCCCCAAATTAATTTTCCAGACTTGCATATCACAGGTTAATACCGGACCAGTGATAATGACACATAATTTAAGGCTTGTAAAAGCTGCCTGGAACTTGAAAGAAACACTCCAAGCCAGGACGTGGTGCCAGGCATGCAAGAGCAAGTCATTCAGGTAGAAGCTGTCCCAAGGGCGGGCACCACGCCTCTCCACAGGATCTCAGAGGGTGCACGCAGGTCAGCGGGCCCTCCGCTGCCGGCCGCCCCAGGAGCATCACCCCCCTCGCTGCTACTTTTAACAACCACGGGAGGCAGTTGTTCACAAAGGTACATTCGTTATTTCTAACGAATATCTCCCAGAAATACCTCGCAGTTCTGAAGTGACGCAACAGGATTGCCCTAATGGTTTCTAAACTTTGAAGACTTGTAGAGCCAGAACCCCACAGAACTGCCTCGGGGCACCCTTCTGCCTCCTCAAATACCAGGCTGTCCGTTGGCATTGTTGGAGACTGACATAGCCTGCGCTGGGATGTTTAGCTGCTTGTGGGGTGGAAAAAAAATGTTAAGAAAAATAATTGTTGTTTTTGCAAACTATCTATTTAAAAACAGAACCTCAGGAAGCAGATTTCTGTTCCAGTGCTCGGATGAATCAGAGCTCACAAAGTATAAATACACATTAGCAGGAGGAGGCTTCCCATAACCCATGGGCTGTGTCTTCCCAGCCCAGGAACCTCTGAACTCCTTTCTCATTCCCAGTAGAGGCAAGAGAGAGACCCGCAGCCCAAACGGAAATGCTGGAACACTGCTCAGCCCAAGTCGCAAACCTTTTTTCTTTAAAGGCAACCGGTCTTTAGCTGCACGCTGGCACATTTTTGGATAGACAGGTGTCCACCATTTAGAAAAGGGGGGGAGCCCACACTCTGGTTCCTTCGGCTCTTTGCTGCCTAAGAAATATTCCCAAATAAGTTAACTGACTCTCTGACCCCTCAGATCAGTCAATAAACACGAAGCACTTAGAGCACAACTTGCTCAGGGGGCGGTGTAATTATTTTACTTAAAAATGATGTCAGGTGGCAATTTAGCAACAAACTGGCTTCCAGGCTACTTAATTCAGTTTAACAAGGAGGAAAAACATTATAATTAATGAAGAGCTTGTACTTTAGTACTTTAGTAGAGTTGTGCTCAAATTTTACTGTACCTCATGCGGGAGGACAGACGAGGGGGAGCTCTTGAAAGTGGATTGCCCGGCCCCACTCCTGGTGAGTCACGGGCTAGGTCTGGGAATCTGCATTTAGGAGAAGTGCATCGCTGCTTTCACGTTATGCTGGTGATCATCACCCCGTCTCACTGGGCTTTGTCAAGTAGATTTGCCCCCCTTTTCTATTCTGATTCTACATGTGGAAGTCTAGAGCCTCAGGGCAGTTCCCTATCTAAAAACCGTTGTCTTCCAGGTCATTCTTTCCTGGAGTTTCGTGGTGTAGCATTCTCATGCGGAGTTCTAGTGAGCTGTTTTCCTGCAGGGCCTGCTCAGAGGGCCCAGAACATCCGTGGGGAATAGGAAAGGTGTTGAGTCCCATCCTTTCCCTTCCCTGTATCCAGGATAACCAAGGCCCCCTTGCCCGATTCCTTCTACCTGGAGAAAGGGGAGAAACATCCTGACCATTAAGACCCTGGATTTGAGGAGCCTGACCTCTGCCTTCCCACATAGAGTGTCCTGGACAGAAGGTTCCTAAAGGTACATGTGCAGCTCAAGATCACCTCCCTCCTGGGATAAAGAATTGCAGAGGCTCATTAAATGGTTTTCTTTTTTTTTTTTCTTTTTTCTTGGCACGAAAGCATTTGGTAACTATCCAAGGAATGCTGGGGTCCTGCATACTCCAAGTTTACAAACCACCAGAGCACGGTATTGCTTCAGGATGGTTGGAGTTCAGCGCAGCGAGACCAGACTCGGTCCGTACCAGGAGAGCACGTCCCCCCTTGCCCCCACCTTGCAGAAACCGGCTGTTCACCAGCAGAGATTCGTGGCAGCAGTATTGGCTATACTGGGTCAGGGAGATGTCACAGGAATCCACACTCCTTCGGGGCTGCCTCCCCAACAGGCCAAAATGCACTGCCACAGATGGACTCTGACCCTGAGGGCTCTGTTCAGGCACCAGGAGTGCGGGGTATGTAAAGCCCACCACCCACTCCTAATGCCCATCAGAGAAGACAATTCCTGGCCTCGAGGAAACAACAGCTTCCCAAGAATGAAAGAAGACATGCCCGTCAGCTTCTCCATTCAAAGTGGGTTGCTCCAGTTGGAGCTATGCTATGGAACCTGGAGGATGGGTGGCCTGAACCAGGCAGCACTGGGGACAGCTCCCCCCAGGAGGGAAGCAGGGAACTCCTGGCAACTCCGAGCTGCTGGAAGTTGTCCATGTACATCACCTCAGCCCATCCCTTCCCTGCTGCAGGTGCCAGAGGCAAAGCTTCCCCACCCCACCCATGAGGTGGGGACAGGGCCATGTTGTCCTCTGGCCCAGTAGCCACGAGCGAACCACAGCTCTCCTGCCCTCACCAGGTTGGGAACAGCCCACCTCTGGAAGGCCCGGCACCTGGCACCCAAAGCAGTGTGGCGAGGCCAACTTCCTGGGTTCAGTGATGAGTGAATAGATGGGCCATGACCCCAGAAGCAAACTCTCCTGGAGGCATAAGTGTGCACAAAACCCACAAGGTCTCTCATGATGGAAGGATGTTACTATATTAGCCCAAGGAGCCCAAACACCCGGAGGAAGAGCATTAAATCTCCCTCTTCAGCAATTCCAAATTTTTTAAAACCCTTTTAGTGCACGGGAGCGCTCACACTTCCCTCCACGCTGCAGGCCACTGACCCAGTGGTTTATTCAGAAAGTATTCACGCTTGATGAACAACAAGGCCCTCAGGTGGGGCTCACTGCAGGGGAATGTGGAGGCTGGAAAGTCTTGGAGTTCCTGGTCCGAGCCCCTAATTATCACCACCACAGGCACAGCAGAGCCAAACCACGTAAGCTCAGAAGAGGCCACACTTTCCATGTTTTTATACAAAAAATTTAATAAATATTACTTTTCAAAATTTATTGCCAGGAACAACACATCGAAGATGCATTTTTATGTTCATAACACTAATAGGACAATACAAAGTATCTTCACGGTCTCCATGGTGAACCAACAAAATGACTGATAAGCCTTCTGGATCTTAAACTTCGGAAGAGCGCTTTGATTTCCTCGCGTAAGGCAGGCAGTGTACTCTACGGCAACCTAAACAGTGATCTTACTGGGCATCTGACGGTTCAAGTATTCAACTAGCTTATTAGAATACTCCCTAAATGCAGTAGATAACAAAAATCAAACCTACGGTGGTTCAGTATTACATACGAATGGTGAAAAGAAATCAGAATTTACAAAATAAGATTGGTGTGCTTCCAACTTCACACAATTAATTTGATCATTTTAATGATATTCAACCACTCACATTTTGGCTACGTTTACATCATAACTCAACTTGTTCCCTTAAACGGCTGTGCAGCAGATCACCTGCCTGTCTCTTTTCAAGTCTAAAGCAGAAAAAAAAAAATACCAAAACAAAAAAACTGTTCTAGACTAATTCTGAAACTGCCTCGGTCAGTCCTGAAAACGTGTTTTAAAGTGATGCTCTAGATTCTCTAGAGTCTAGAAGGTGTTTTAAACATCTTGACGTCCAAAAAAATAAAAAAAAAAATTCCACCAGTATTCCAGGCACAGAAGCCCGTCTACTGTCTTAAAAATAAACCATTTTCAAAC